TCTATTTCATTCCTCTTTTTATCCTCATTCATTTGGTCTTTATCTTATCTCATTTGGTTTCCTATTCCTCCATTTCCTTTATCCTTTGGTTTATCCTGTTATTATAATTATATCACCGACCAAGCTCGGGATGTACTGGCGCGCTATATCTAGCGTAATCCTGCCGTAATCCCTTATAGCCAATAGCCTCGCGTGGCTATACGCATGGTGATTCTATATTCTAGAAGGGTCTATTCCCTTTGGATATGATAAACCTGGTGACCTTATGTACTCTAGAAGTATAAAAGCACCTTGTACTGATTGATAATGGAACATTAAGCAAACCTTTCCTCGGCACATTCGATCATGTGACACTCCCCATCTCTGTTCCATGCTGCTAGTCCCTAAGGGTGACCCAGACGCTTTCGACATCCCGACCCCTCGCATTTACGCTGAGGCGACCTTGGGACCCTGGGCCTCTCAGTGGATAGCTGCCATGGAGCAGGAGATGGCATCTTGGAGATCCAACGGCACCTTCGTTGACGCAGTTCCCCGCTTGGGGTGAACGTAGTCGATGGCCGCTGGCTCTTCAAGGTGAAGCGCCCTCCTGGAGAGCCACCTGTGTTCAAGGCGCGCTACGTGGCTAGAGGTTTCAGTCAGCGTGAGGGGGTGGACTTCTTCCAGACCTTCGCTCCGACCCCGAAGATGACTACTCTTCGGGTTCTGCTACACCTTGTTGCTCAGCGTGACTACGAGCTTCACTCCCTCGACTTCTCCACTGCCTTCCTTCAGGGCAGCCTTCACGAGCAGGTCTACCTGCGTCGCCCTCAGGGCTTTACTGGCACCTTCCCTCTTGGGACCCAGTGGCTCCTGCGGCGTCCTGTCTACGGCCTGTGGCAGGCTCCACGTGACTGGCACGACACGCTGCGTGCTACCCTTGCTGACCTGCAGTTCTTTCCGTCCTCTGCAGACCCCTTACTCTTCGTTCGTGCTGGCCAGACTCCGTTCTACATCCTTGTGTACGTGGACGATCTGGTCGTTGCCACAGCAGAAAGGGACGCACTGGCCTCCATGAAGGCAGAGCTGCTGAAGAGACACACTTGCACTGACCTTGGAGAACTGCGCCGTTATCTTGGCTTGCAGATCTCCAGGGTCAAAGCAGCGCGCACCATCACCTTGACTCAGTTACACTTGGTGCGCTAGGTCCTTCAGAGGTTCGGCCTTCAGTTCTCCTCTGCACAGCCCACCCCTCTGCCTCTAGCCCACAGACTCTCCGCTCCAGTTCCTGAGGAGTCAGTTGAGTCCAGTGGTCCTTACGCTGAGCTGGTGGGTTACCTCATGTACCTGATGACTTGCACTCGCCCAGATCTCGCATACCCTCTCAGCATCCTGACTCGCTTTGTGGCCACAGGCAGACACCGACCGCAGCACTGGTCTGCCGCTAAGAGGGTTTTGCGTTATCTTGCGAGTACATCGGGCATGGGGTTAGTGCTAGGAGGACGCAGACCAGACGCTTCGTGGGCGGACGACGCTGAGACACTCAGGTCTTCCCAGGGCTACTGCTTCAGCCTTGGTTTAGGTGCCGTCTCGTGGAGAGCTACCCGCTCCTCGTCTGTTGCCCAGTCCAGCTATGAGGCCGAGATCTACGCTGGTGCCATGGCGGCACAGAAGCTCCGCTGGTTGACTTTCTTGCTCACTGACTTAGGTGAGCGGCGTAGCTCTGCCCCGGTCCTGTACTCTAACAACAGGGCCATGATCCTCCTGTGTCAAGAGTCTCGACTCGAGGGCAGAGCGAAGCATGTTCAGCTGCGGTACTTCCTCCTACACGAGCTACAGCAGTGCCGCCAGGCTCGCGTAGTACACCTGGCCTCCGGTGCCAACACAGCTGATATCCTTACGAAGGCGCTTGCGCCTAAAGATCATCAGCGGCACTGTGTACAGCTCGGTCTAGTTCCTGTAGCCTCTCACTTGCTAGGACCTTGACCTTGTACTGTCCTATATATCTGTATGTACTCAGACTGGACTTGTGTCCTCTCCTAGTAACTGGACTAGTAGTGCCGCCCTGGTCTTGTTCTTGCCTTGCCTGTACTCCTTTTTACTGGCCTTTAGACCCTTGTCTCAGTGGCTGGACTAGTAGTGCCGCCCTGAGCTGCTTGTTCAGGACCTGCCCCTATGCAGTCTAGGGGGTGTGTCAAACATGTGTATCTCTTATGTTTGCATAGACTGTATAGGGTTATCTCTCATAGGGTACAACACTTGGATATATTCGCCTGTACTCTCTCTCTCTAACTCATTCATTCAGTTTTAAGAACACAGTGGTTTTGTGCTAAGGGGTTTTACTCTTTAAGAGTACGCACCTATCTAATCTATAGTAACAGATACACATATGTTTGACACTCACATATATGGCCTACGACGTTTGATGCAGTTTAATGATAATCCAAACCGTGCAACTCGCACCCCGAAGACATGCAATTTAAGGCTTGGCTCCGAAGTGGGGTCCAAGAGCTGTGCCCCCTACGCTGGCGGAATTGCGTGTGGGGGGGGGGAAAAGGGGAAACTGGGGGAAAACAGGGGGGAGGGGCTAATCGAAAGCACAAGGTAATTAACTAGAGGCTTCGACGCAAATATCATGCATTTCCAAGCGTGCACGACAATGTGGCAGGGCAGCAAAGGGAAACGCAAAAGATGCTGGAGGCCGAAAATTGAAACATTATGCAATCTTGGCAGCCCAAACTTAAAGCCCGAGTCTAGAATGGTAAAAATCCATGTTTACTGACCATGAAAACAGTGCTAAAAACGCTGGGCGAAACCAATTTCGGCAAAGTTCCCCTGGCGAAAACTATTTCTCTGCGAAAATTTTATGTTGCTCGCGACGCAAAAGAAACCCAACAACTTGCAATCAACAGTTCGCAAACAGTGACGATTTTGGGGGAGGGGGGGCGAACTGTACACGGCTGTTCTCGTGTCACGAGCCCCAGCAAAAAATGCGTCTAGAATGGTACCAGGCGTTTTCAAGTTCAGTATGAGTGAACAGTGAGTTCGAGGTTTGTCTCAAATAGCGAATTTCGCACGCCGCCCCATTTCCCCGAGGGTCGCGACGTGGAGGTACCCTTCACTGGGTTACTCACTTTTACGAAAACAAGTTCAGGAATCCTGAACTTGATAGCCAACCAATGTAGACTCGGGCTTTAAACGCATCCGGGAATTAGTGGATGCGCGTTAGGTAAACCACAAGTGGGGATTTCATGACAAAATCTTCCATCCGTTTGAGTGTATTCATACAAACTCCTCCTGGCCCAATCTAGGGGTTTGGTTTTCAAATCTTGCAGCAAAGTATCCATCGCATGAATCCAAAGGTTTTGGTTTCGGGGGATCTCGAAAATTGCGAGGTGTGGTGAGGGTGCTAGTTGGGCGTTGTTACTGTTTTCGCCAGTTTCGTCAACCCAAACCCAAACCTTTTGGATTTGGTTTTTTGCTTCTCGAGACCCGCGCTTTAAAAACCCTTCCGCCTAGGGGGATCTCGGTTCCCTGGTTCGAGCAGGGGCTTGAAATTTGGTTTGGCTCTCGGGCCGAGTCTATGAGCTTGGTTTGGGTGCTTTTATCGAATTCTCATCACCGCAAACCGACGTAGACCCCTAGCTCGGAGCTGAGGAGCCTTCGCCTGAAGGTTCCTAGCTCGAATCTGGTACACCTCGAGGTGGCTCTTCTTGATCATCACCCTGGACGCCGCTGGCTGTGGTTGGCTGGTGAGGAGGAAACGTGAGGTTTCTGAACGCGATTCGTGATATGTAACCTGGTTCGCCAGTTCGGTGACGGACCTCGCTAACACCGTAATTTACTGCTTTGTAGACTTACGGAACCCCACTCAACCAAATATCACCGCATAAACTCGAACCTCTGGAATTCGCGATTCGGGCCAATTGGACAGCATGTACTGTATGCGTGTCCTAACCACCGCAATAGTGTCGTGTCGTCGCGGTGAACTCGACAATCCATCTATCGGCGCCACGTCTCTATGGTCTTGCGATGCTGCCATTTGAGCCGTCGATATGGGAGGAAAACTAGACTCCCAGCATGTGGCTCGGCTGGACGTGGGTGGTGGGGAGATTGATGAATGCGGTTTGCTGTTATTTGTCTCTCGATTATCCCTGCAGCTCGGTCACCCATCTCTAAGAAAATACACCTGACGTCCAGTGAAACTATCATTCATTAGGTGCCAAGTGTCTGACTACAGGCCCATTTGATCCGAAAGCACAAAAAACGGCCCAATCGACACAGGTCCAAACATTTGCAGCAGTTACCACATCTGTTGCAGAGACCTCCAAACGTGCAGACGGGACGTTCACAAATCTTACAGTGTTGCCCGAGAAACGCAAAACAAACAACAATGGTCACCCGCTTTAGACGGGAAAATACCAACAAGGTAACCAGATTACCCTATATTGGCCCAATTCGCCCATGAAAGTTTTGGTGTTCGACTCTGAAGCACCCGTCCAAAAACAAACTGGGCCAGAAAAGGACTTCCTGTGTACATGTTCTCTCCATCCCGCAACCTCGAAACCCTGTCTCCGAGCGCCTGAATCGAACACTTGCACAGAGTAAGGCCGGCTGGAATGTTGTTGACTGTTTCTTGCCTTTCCCCTTGGCCCCAGCGGTAGAAGGCAGGTGGTTGTGCCTACCAGGCCTCTTGCTAACAGGGCAATTTTCCTTAATTTCTTGAAATTAAGGGCGTGTCACTAAAGGGCATCCGATTGCGGTTCGCAAAGATTTTTTGCGTTCTGAAAGTGTCAAATAAAATTTTAGAGCGATTTAGTGTTGTATTTTGCCAAAACATTTTTTGGTGACACGCCCTAAGGCAGTTTGGCAATCTGTAGGGGGTACCGACAGGCCTTGTGCCTACCCCTTCCTCTTCCAAACGAAAGACAAAGAATGCATCCACTGTTTTTCCCGCAACTGCCGTGCATGTCGGTGGAGCCATGGCGATGAGTTTGGTTCGGTGAGATCACAGACCTGGCCGATGTGCATTCGCCGCCATAGCGAACTGGCCGAAAGCTAGCAGATCACAGTTCTGTACAGAACGAAACAATATTCATATAATAGAGAACCATCGCTAGTAGAATAGGCTGAAAGGCCCATACTAGAAAGTGCATTCCGCAGGTGTCATTTTGATGGCCAGTAGTCGGCGACACAGAAGGATGCTCCCAGGTGTTTGAGCGCGACCGTGACGCAGAAGCACGCGGAGACTAAGAGGCGATTAACGACCGAGAAAGGCGAGGACGCCGCGGTTCAACCATCGTTGAACGGAGCGACGCTCGCCGCGCCTTTCCGCCTTCGCACTGACAGGTCGGAGAGAGACGCGCGTACCGTTGTAGTGGACAGGTAGACAGGTGGACCGGCAGTGGAGCTGAAAAGAAGGCGGGAAACGGATACTCGTAATCGGCAGCTCAGATTCGCCGCTGGAACAGGCGAAGGCGGTACGCCTACTACGTGCGGCGTTGTTGGCGCCGGTACCAGCACTACTACCGATTCGCGTCTCGTTCCCATAACCGGGTTTCCGCTTGTCGAGCTACGGTCGCCGCGTGCCTGGCGCATTGGGGATCGATATGGCTCGCACGACGATCAGTTCGCGCCTGGCGCGGCTGCTGCTGCTGGCGCTGCTGCTAGCGGTGACATGCTCCCTGCAGTGCGCCGTGTGCGTGCAAGGTACGACTGAGGCGGGGAGGAAAGGGGAGGGGGGGAGAGGAAGAGCAGCAAGGGTGGGCTGTACTGGTTGAAGAACGATGGAGGACAGTAGAGATCACAATGGATAATAACGGAGAGTAATGGAGAGCGACAGAGGGTAGTACTACCGGTGAGCAGCCAGGGCTGACTGGGTTCACACAAACTCTGCTCAGTCGCTAAAAGAAACGCCTTGTGCCATCCCCCACGTATCGCCACAGCGAGTCGGTGAAAAACAAGTTCCCTGGTGTCGCCAGACACACGTGAGCGCATTCCTTAAATGCGGCAGTCGCCAATCCGATTCCTCCCACCTACCGCCCCCGAGGTGACCTTTTGAGTCAAGCCTGAGATGACTCAAAAGTCACCCCTTCGTTCCGCAAGCGCAGCCAAAATCCGCGAGCTAGTCGCCTCGTCCCCTCGTCCCCTCCTCTCTCCCTCCCGACCTTGCCGAGATGCTGGCCCATTCCGCGCCTTGTCGTCTCGATTCCGTCGTCGCAGTATCGAACGGACTCAGAACGGCCATAGCGCCGGTCAAACCCTTTCAATCACTCCCGACCCAACTCACCCACCCGCACCCCTCCGCCCAATCGCTCCCCCTTTCCCTTCTTCCCCAACCGTCCTAACCCTCCCCCTCCCTCCCTCTACCCGCCCCCGCCCCCTGCCCCATCCCCTTCCATCGCCCTCCTCTCCGCGCAACCTCCGCTTCCCCCCCCCCCCCCCCTCGCAGTGCCGTCCGCCCCTAAGAAACAGCTCTACATCGTCCGCCTTCGATCCGCTCCCCCCATCACCGCGTATCGCGGCGGCATCGGTGGCTACCCCGCCACCGCTCCCCCCCCAACCGACGCCCCCGATGACGGCGCTGGCGACAGCGCCCCCGCCTCCGCCCCCGCGCCTAGCGCTGCTGACTCAGCCGCGTCGGGCGCCACGCGGCCGAACGCCACTGGCTTCACTGCGACCAGCGTCACGCCTGGAGCAGCAGCAACGGCTGCAACGGCGGGGATTTCTCCCAAGGGCTTTGGCGGGCGGAGAAAGTGGGGGAACCCGCGGCTGCCGCACGTGCGCGCGTTCGCGAAGTTTCTCAAGGATCAGCAAGACAGCGTGGCGGCCGAGATAGGGTCGACGGCCGTTTACAAGTGAGTGGCGCGGTCGTGCGCAACTTGAACTTGAAGTGAGTGGTGGTGAGTGAACGCCATGTGCAAAGTGAGTGCGGGGTGATTCACAATGACACCAAAAACCAAGACACGTAGAATGCGCGAGCTTTAGGGTTCACTGGTGGAACTGGTCTGGTTCAATGCACCCTGCACTGGTCGAACGCCACTCCTCTCATGCCAACGTCCTCTGCTCCCTCTCTCCCCCCCGGCACACCCGCTCCCGCTCCCCCTCCTGCTCCTCTCCCTCCTCCTCACCCCTCGCACCCCACTCTTTTCCCCACCGCCCCCTGCCTTCGTTTCCCTCCTTCCCCCCTCCCCCCCATCCCTTCCCCAGTCTCAAGTTCACGAGCAACGCCTTCGCGGCGGTGCTGACCCCGAAGCAGGTGTGGCGCCTGCAGCGGCACACGGCGGTGGCGCTGGTGCAGCGGAGCCCCGTGATCAAGCGCCTGGCGGCCATGCCGTCCACGTCGTTCCTCGACCTGCACCGCACCGCGTGGGCGCAGGCAGGCGGCGTGGGCAGCGCGGGCGACGGTGTGGTGGTGGGCGTGATCGACACGGGGATCTGGCCCGAGCACCAGATGTTCGCGGACGACGTGCGTGTGGGGGGGGAAGGAAAGGGGGGAGGGGGAGGGGGAGGGGGAGGGGGAGGGGGAGGGGGAGGGGGAGGGGGAGGGGGAGTGTGGGGGGAAGGGCGTGGTTTGTTGTAACCGCGCATGACGTAACCGCGCATGTTGTAACCACGTGCGACGCAGCCGCGGACTTCCCCGTGGCGCCGTGCGCGGGCAAGCTGGTGGGCGCGAAGGCGATCTACAACAGGTTCATTCAACTCCCCCCATTTGCCCTCCCGCTCCCCCGCCGCCTTCCCCCCAACCAACCGCCACCCTTTTCCCTTTCCCCCCAACAAACCCCCACTGTCCGCTTTCCCCCAGGGTTCCTTCACCGCCCGGGGGACCAGGTCGGGCACGTGCGACGCGACTGCGGACTTCCCCGCGTCGCTGTGCGCTTAATCCATCTCCCCCCTTCCTTGGCGCTCCCGCTCCCCCACCTTCTCCCCCGCAGGGCTCGTTCACTGCCCCGGGCACCTGGTCGGGCTCGTGCGACACGTCCGCGGACTTCCCCGCGTCGCTGTGCACGGGGAAGCTGGTGGGCGCGCGCACGTTCTCGAGCGGGTTCGAGGAGGAAATGGGCGCGCGGGACTTCACGGACGACTACAACTCGCCGCGGGACTCGGACAGCCACGGCACGTGGTGCGCGGGGTGAGTGCGCTTAGACGCTGTGCCAATTCTGTCAGTAGAAATGAACATGCCATGGCATACTCGCCGCGGGACTCAGACAGCCATGGCACGTGGTGCGCGGGGTGTGGATGGCGCGTGGTGCTTTCTTTTTGTATACGCTTAGATGCTGTGCCAATGTTGTCAGTAGAACTGGACATGCGAGCCATGCCATGCCATGCCATGCCATGCCATGCTATGAAGTCGGAGTGAGACAGACTGGAAAACGCCTCCGCCAGCTTTGTCAACTCGCCCTTCTGCACCCCCTACCCATTTCAACCCCTCCCCCTCCTGCTTACTCCTCCCCCCCTCCCCCATCCTGCCCCCCCTCTCCTCCCTCCCACCCCTCCGTCCACCCCCCCTCCACCACCCCTCACCTCACCTCTCCCCCGGCCACAGAGCGGCGGTGGGCAACAGCGGCGTGACCCTGCTCTCGTCGGACAACCGCAACCTGGGCACATACAGCGGAGTGGCCCCGCGCGCGCACCTGGCCGTGTACAAGGTCTTCTGGAAGACCCAGGGGAGCTCGTCCGCCAGCTTCACGGACATCGAGGCAGCGTTGGATCAGGCCGTAGCGGACGGCGCGGATGTGCTGAGCCTGTCGCTGGGCGCGCTGGACCCCTCCGCAACGTACTTTTCTGATACTGGGTTTATGCAGGCCAATGTGGTGAGTGCAGTGGGGAGGAGGAAGGGGGGGGGTGGGGTGAAGAGGGGGGTGAGGGGAGGGTGGGGAGGAGAGTGGGGAAGAGGGCGGGAGGGGGGGAGGGCGGGGGGAGAGCGTGGATGGTGACATGAGGAGGGGAGGTCGGGGGGTGAAAGGGGCGACGGTAAGAGGGGGACTGTGAGAGTGCCTGTGCGTGTGAGCTCCCGCACACACCGTGGGTGTGAGTGTTTGTGTCATCCTCGGCATTCCCACCCCACCCCCCACCGTGCTGTGCAGGCCGGCGTGACGGTGGTGTTTGCAGCGGGCAACTCCGGGCGCCCGCCCGGCAACCTGATGCTCCCCTACATCTTCCGCTCCGTCTCCAACTTCTCGCCCTTCTACCTCACTGTCGGCGCCAGGTACCCCCTCCCAGTCCTCTCCCCCCTCTTGCTCGCCCTCCCCTTTCCTTCTCCCCTTTTCCTCTCCTTCCCTCCCCCCCTCCCCCCCCCTCCTTTCTCTCTCCTTCTTCCTCTCTCAATTCTCGTCAGTGTCTTTTTCTCTTCCCCTTTCCCATTCCTCGCCGAAATACAAGTTATTCATGCGCATACAACAGACACGTGTACTTGCATGTGTAGTCCCTTTCCCCCCTTCGTTCCTTAGCTCTCCCTCTTCCATCTGCACTACAGCTCAAGACTCCAACTAACAAGCTTCCCCTCTCCCCCTTCCCCCCCTCCCCTCCTTTCTGTTCTCCCTCTTTCGCTCCCTCCCACTCCCCTCCCCCGCTTTCCATCTCCCCCACCACCCACAGCACAATCAACCGCGCCAGAACATTGTATGGGCGCAAGGCCCCTCCTAGAACAACCGCCTCCTCCACCACATCGCTCTCCCCCACCACTGCCGCTGGCCTCACCGCCACTGCTCTACACCCCAGCAGCAGCAGCTTGGATGAGCATCAGATGGCTGCTGTGCGTGTTGCAGTTGCCATGGAAGCAACACGCTCTGGTACACACTTGTTCCCTGCTGCTGCTGCTGCTGCTGCTGCTGCTACTGGTGGTGCTGGTGCTGCTGGTGCTGCTGCCGCCGCTGCTGCCGCTGGTGATGGCAGCGACTACGACCTTGATGGGCCTGGTGACCCCACGGTCAACACAACTGTGAGCGCCAGTGCGCTGGTGAGAGCGCTCCAGGAGGAAGGCATGGTGGTGGTGGGGGACTGGCCCGCACTCCAATCCACCCCTGTGCTCCTCGCCGCCTCTGCCGCCTTCCCGGGCGCCAACAGTACAGAACCCGCCCGGCTGTGCCTGGCAGGGGCTTTGTCTGCGGCTGCTGTGAAAGGGCGCGTGGTGATGTGTGCAAGTGGTGGGTCGAGTATTGCAGAGAAGGTGGCTGTGGTGGCGGCGGCGGGAGGGAGAGGGGTGGTGGTGAGTGAGGTGGAGGCGAGTGGGGAGGAGGAAGAGGAGGGAGGGCATGGAGTGCCGTGCACCCTGGAAGGGGGGAGCCTGAATTGCACCACCACCACCACCAGTACCAGCAGCAGCACTGCTAGCGGCGGCAGTGGTAGCTTAGCCAGAATAAGCAGCAGCAGCAGCAGCAGCAGCCTGGGCAGCATGTTTGCGGGCAGCGAGTCCTGGGCGGTGCCTGTGATGCTGGTGGACCATGACGATTCTGCTGCCATGCACGCACTCATTGCTGCGCTCGCCACCAAAGGCAACGGCGGCAAGAGCGGCGGGAAAGGGAGGTGAGTTGCATTGCATGCATGCTTCGAGTCGACTTCAAATACAAGGTGACTTTTGAGTCGACTTCAAATACACACCATGAGTCCTGTCCTGGTTGGTGCATGTGATGCTGGTGGACCATGACAAATCCACTGCCATGCACGCGCTCGCTCATAGCCGCCCTCAGCTTCCTCAGCGTCCTCAGCTTCACGCAAGTCCCGTCCTGTAATCTGCATATGTGTAAATCTCCCTCCCCACTCCCTTCATCCCACTCCTGCTCCCTCTCCCCTCCCCACTCCCCAACTAGCATCTCCACCAACTCCTTTCTCTTCCCTCATCCCCCCTCCCCCCATTCTTACCTCCCTCTCCCCCCCCCCCCACCCCCGCCACCTGAGTGGGCATCAGGTCCATCCTGAAAGCGCTCTACTCCATGCCACAGCCTCCTTTAGTCACCATGCATGCCCTTGCTCTCCCTCATCCCCCTCCCCCAATTCCTCCCTCTCCTCTTCCCCCCCTCCCGATCACCCCCCATTCCCCCCTACCCCCTTCCCTCCCCCTCTCACCGGAGTGACCACCAGGTCCATCCTGAACATCGTCTTCAACCACATGAAGGTCGCCGTGTTCTCGTCCACCGGCCCGACACGTCCTTGCTCTGCCTTCAACCCACTCCCCCTCTCCCTCTCCCACCCCCTCTCCCCACCCACCCACCCACGCCTTGCTCCCAGCAGAGCCACCACCAAGTCCATCCTGAACGTGTTCAACTACATGAAGGGCCCCATAGTGGCCGTCTTCTCCTCCACGGGCTCAACACATCCTTGCTCTGCCTTCATCCCTCTCCCCCTCTCCCCCTCCCACCCCCACTCCCTACCCACGCAGAGCCACCACCAAGTCCATCCTGAACGTGTTCAACTGCATGAAGGGCCCCATAGTGGCCATGTTCTCGTCCACGGGCCCCCTCACGCCCATGAACGCGCGCAACCGCGGGCCCTTCCCCACCAACCACGTCCTCAAGCCCGACGTCATCGCCCCGGGAGTCAACCTCCTCTCCGCCGCGCCCAAGGGCACCAACACCGCGCAGACGCTCTCCGGAACCTCCATGGCCACCCCGCACGTGGCAGGCTTTGCTGCTCTGATCATCCAGCAGCACCCGACCTGGACCCCTGCGCAGGTGATGTCAGCAATGATGACCACTGCGAGGATAAGGAATAGCGCTGGGCTGCCGATATTCCACGCCTCGGCTACCAGGGCTTCCCCGTGGCATTTGGGCTCGGGGCATATCAACCCTGAGAAGGCGTTTGACCCGGGGCTGACGTACGACGCAGGGGAGGCGGATTACAAGAATTTTCTGGCGGGGAGGCAGTTGCGGTGGGCCAAGGCTATGTTCTCTTCAGACACCCTGTCTCCCACGAAGGCGTATCAGCTCAACCGGCCAGTTATATCGGTGCAAGGGCTGAAGGGCACGGTGACTATAGTGAGACGGGTGACAAATGTTGCGACGACCACGTCGACTTATCGGGCCAAAGTGAAGAAGCCGTTCGGGGTGAATGTGAAGGTGACTCCGAAAACGTTCACCATTGCTGCTGGGGCGACCCAGACGTTTAAAGTTAAGCTCACCTTGCAGCTTCCTTGGAGGAATTACAGGTTTGGGAGCTTGTGGTGGTTGGATGGCCAAGGGCACTCGGTTAGAATCCCCATAGCTGTGCAACCATCCTGGCTCCGGTGACAGAGTCATTGGTGCTGAAGGAGCATCATGGAAGAGTGATGTGATCGTGACAGTCACCCAAGTTGGCAGTTGGACATTTGTACCACTTCTCATTGAGAAAGCTTGCTTTCTTGTCCTTCGCAATACCGTAGTCAACTTATACATATGTTATTATGTAGAAGTTTTAGGCAGGGCTGACGTTTCAAAAAAAGCCACTTTGAGCCAACCCCCCCGAAAACAAGAGAAAAGTCTGAAGGGACTTCTGTCAACTTATACATATGTTGTATGTAGAAGTTATAGGCTAGCCTAGGTGTGTGCTTCTAGTGAGTACAACCCCAACAGGTACATGTTCTAGGTTTCTCACACTAGTCCTTTCATTCTCTCTTTCTAACATGGTATCATGAGTAGGTTCGGTTCCTCTCACCCGCCCACGCTTCCCCCCTAGGCCCTAGCCGCCCTCGTAACCCGTCCCTAGCTGGCCCCCTCCCCCCTGGCAGTCGCGTCCACCCCTAGCCGGCCCCCTGGCCGTCGCGTCCGCCCCTAGCCGATCCCCTGGCCGTCGCGTCCGCCCCTAGCCGGCCCCCTGGCCGTCGCGTCCGCCCCTAGCCGGCCCCCTGGCCGTCGCGCCCGCCCCTAGCTGGCCCCCTGGCCGTCGCGTCCGCCCCTAGCCGGCCCCCTGGCCGTCGCGTCCGCCCCTAGCCGGCCCCCTGACCGTCGCGCCCGCCCTTAGCTGGCCCCCTGGCCGTCGCGCCCGCCCTTAGCTGGCCCCCTGGCCGTCGCGTCCGCCCCTAGCCGGCCCCCTGGCCGTCGCGCCCGCCCCTAGCCGGCCCCCTGGCCGTCCCGCCCGCCCTTAGCCGGCCCCCTGGCCGTCCCGCCCGCCCTTAGCTGGCCCCCTGGCCCTCGCGTCCGCCCCTAGCCGGCCCCCTGGCCATCGCGTCCGCCCCTAGCCGGCCCCTTGGCCGTCGCGTCCGCCCCTAGCCGCCCCCCTGGCTGTCGCGCCCGCCCCTAGCCGGCCCCCTGACCATCGCGCCCGCCCCTAGCCGGCCCCCTGGCCGTCGCGCCCGCCACTAGCTACACCCCTGGCCGTTGCATCCGCCCCTAGCCGGCCCTCTGGCCGTTCGTGCCCGCTCCTAGCCGGCCCCTCCTAGCGCCCGCTCGGCCCCCTCTACCGCCCGCCCGGCCCCTCCACAGCGCCCGCCCGGCCCCTGCTGGCGCCCGCACGGCCTGTTGCGCCTGCCCGTCCCACACCGCCTGCCCGGCCCCACCCAGCGCCTGCTCGGCCCCGATACGCCTGCCCGGCTTCTGCGGCCCGCAGCTCCCAGTGCCTGCCCGGCTCCTGCGGCTCCGTGTCTTCTGCTCGGCACGGTTCCTCGGGTCTCCGGCCTCGTGTCTTCTGCTTGCCTGCGCTGGAGCGTCCTGCAGACGTCCCCCTGGAGCTGTGCTACTGTGTCCCTGCGCCGCTGTTTCGTGTGGAGCTGTGTCCCTGTATCGCTGACCCTGCACGATGGCTGACTTCGTACTCTGCCTGGACGCTGAGGGCCATGCGGTTGACTTCGCCGCCTGGCTGTCCGATCTCCGTCGTCAACTCACAGGTCAGCGCAAGGATGGGCACTCCTTGGTTCTCCATACTGATGCCTTGCTCCCCCGCCCCCCTGCGCCTGCTCCCCTCCCTGCTGACCCCACCTCTGCTAAGCGTGAGACTTTCTCTGCTGCTGCACTTGCCTGTGCCGTCTGGGACTCTCGCGATGCAGTTGCTCAGGTCGCTATCAGTCACGCCCTCCCTGTGTCTGAGCGTTCGCGTTTTGCTACAATTGATACAGCCAAGGCTTACATAGAAGCTGTTGTTGCTCCCTTTTCCACGCCTGCCTCCACTACTGCAGGCCGCCTGCTCTTCCCTATGCTTTTCCCAGACCTTGCTTCCTTCCCTACTGTTGCTGACCTTGCCACTCACCTGCGCGCCCTAGAGTCTCGCTAACGCACTGCTAGCACTGCTGCCCAGCTCACTCTGCTCCCTCCCCCTTTCTGCATGACGCTCTACTTTATCACCATGCGCCTGCCTGACCGCCTTGCTATTGCACGCGACCACATCCTTAGCCAGCACCACGGTGATCTCACCCTGGCAGCCTTTGTCACCTCCCTGACCGAGATCGAGACTCGCCAGCGCACTATCGCTCAGTCGAGCGGTGCGCCAGCAGTCTCTATCTTTCACAGCTGTGCCCCCTCCCAGTGCACGTTTACTGACGTTTCGGCTGCGGTACACCCGCAGCAGCGCTCGCGCCGCGCCGCTCGTGGCCGCCAGGGAGGGCGTGGTGGTGGAGCTGGTTGTAGTAGTGGTGGTACCGGGGACAGTGGTTCTACTGAGGGGACTACCTTAGCTAGTCAGGAGCAGCAGCCGTCGCCCCAGCAGCAGGAGCAGCCGCAGCAGCCGTCGCAGCAGTCGCAGTCGTCGCGGCAGCTGTCCCAGCCCCAGCCGTAGGCTCGCCTCACCCTGGGTTGGCCCGGCACCTCCATAGGTGGTGGCCGTGGTGGCGGCCCGCGCAGCTTGGCGTCTACCGGCAGCTCCGTTGGTGTGACATGCCAGTACCAGCTTCAGGCCGGGCCTCTCCGCGGCACTCTGTGCCGCCGCCCGCACCCGACCGCCCGCTGTTTCCGCCGCCTCGACGATCTCTTTCGTCGTCGCTTTGGCCCGGCCCCGGACCTCCCGGACTGGCACAGCCTGCTTTGCCAGGGCGTGCCGATCTTTGATTTTGATATGGATCAGATAGGTGCTGCCTTGCATGCCTTGTATGCTAACGCTTCTAGTGTTGCTGGATCTTATTACCATGTGTACTCTAGTTTAGGCGTAGCACCCTTGTGTAGCTTAGCCTCCCCTGCTGCATCAGGCGTAGGACTGCCTAGTTTGCCTAGCCTAGTTTCTGCACCGGCTCCGTTCCCAGCCTCCGCTACTGCCTCGCTGTCCTTCACTCTCGACTCCGGTGCTTCTGCCTGTTTCTTCCGCGACCGATCCACGCTCACGTCGCTTGATGCGCCTGCTGTTGTCGCTCTCGCTGACCCCTCCGCGGGTCCTGTCGTCGCTCGCAGCTCCACTTCCCTTCCCTGTCCAGCCGTTCCCTCGGGCTCTCTTACAGTCCTCCATGTTCCCTCGTTCTCCAGGAACCTGGTTGGTGTCGGCCGTCTTCTGGACCTCGGCGTCACCACTACGTTCCCTGGGCACGAGCGGTTCGCTGTCTGTACCGAGGCAGTCTCAGGTTCCCCCCTTGCAACGTTCCCCCGGGACCCGTTGTCCGGTCTGTTTACCCTCGACACCGCTTCCCCCCCAGTTGGTGCGTCCTCCCAGGTCGTTGCAGCTTGCTCGTGTCGGTCCCTCACACACTCGTCCCTTCTGTGGCACCACCGCTTAGGTCACCTTGCTCTCCCGCGCTTGTGTCACATGTCTAAACACGGTCTTGTCTTAGGCCTCCCCGAGTCGCTCCCCGCACTTCCCCCCTCGACTGCGCCACCATGCACGCCTTGCGTCGAGGGTCGGCTCCGCCGTGCCCCTCACTCCTCCTCGCTTCGCCCTGCTACTGCTCCCCTTTAGACCCTGCACAGGGACGTTTGGAGCCCCGCCCCCGTCCCCGGACCGCGCGGTGAACGCTACTTTCTTGTGCTCGTCGACGACTACACGCGCTACACCACGGTGTATCCCCTGGAGCGAAAGGCCGACGTGCCCGACGTTCTTCTCCCGTGGGTTGTTGCTGTGCGACTTCGCCGCGGTCTCCCCATGTTATGTCTCCACTCTGACCGTGGCGTCGAGTTCGCCTCTAGTCGGCTTGGACAGTTCTGTCGTGCGGAGGGCATCACCCAGTCGTACACCTTGCCGGACTCGCCACAGCAAAATGGGGTTGCTGAGCGCCGCATCGGCTTGGTCATGGAGGTTGCTCGTACCTCCATGATTCATGCCGATGCTCCCCATTTTCTGTGGCCGTTCGCTGTCCGCTACGCTGCTCACCAGCTTAACCTCTGGCTACGCTCCCAGCAGCCGCGGGTTTCGCCGACCCTCCTTTGGACCGGGTCCCCCGGTGACGCGTCTGCGTTCCACGTCTGGGTTGCCTTGCTCACGTTCGTGCCTCTGGCACGGACAAGCTCACTGCCCGCACTGTCCCCTGTGTCTTCCTCGGTTTCCCCCTGGACTCGTCCTACTGGCTGTTCTACCACCCGCAGTCTCACCGCTTCCTCCACTCTCGTGACGTCACCTTTGACGAGTCTGTCTCCTTTTACCGTCGCTTCCCTCATTGAGGTCTCCCGATTCACCCCCCCTTATTCCTGGCTCCCTCTCTCCCGGTATATAGGACGTCGTGGTATTATTCGAGTAGTAACTGGCGCAAAGGAGGGTAATTGGGTACCCAGATTTTCGTTGATCCTTTCCGTTACGCGATGTCATTGTCCCACTGTAGCAGATGTCGTTTTTCTGCGAAGGTAATTTCGGGGTCGATGGCGTAACCGTGTGTGAAGAGTCCCTTGAGGAGTGGATTCATCCCTTCGATCTGAATAGCGGCAACGTGTGCAGGCCGGCTGAGGGCGTCCGCTTTGTTTGTGTGGTCGGGCTTGTACACGATGTCGTAGTGGAAGTGTGTCTCGAGGAAGTCGATCCACCGGACCTGCCGCCTGGAAAGGTTGGGTTGTGTCTTCAAGTATTTCAGGCTGCAGTGGTCGGTGTAGACGGTTGTTCTTTGTCCTTCGAGATAACATCTCCACGCTTTGAAGGTGATGACGATGGCAAGGGTCTCTTTGTCATGTATCAGGTAGTTTAGTTCTGCCCCGTGTAGTTTCTTATTTAGGTAGGCGATTGGTTGCAGTCTATTCCCCTGATCTTGCATTAAGACTGCTCCCACTGCCTGGTCGCTGGCGTGAGCTTCGATTACGTAGTCGCGTTCGGGATCTGGCAAGATGAGTACCGGTGCGGTCGTGAGTGCTTGTTTCGGCTGCTCCACGGCTTCCTTGTGCTTCGGTTCCCATTTGTAGGGCGTGTTCTTCTTCAGCAGATTCGTGAGTGGTGCTGCGAGTTTCGCATACTGTGGCACGAACTTGTTGTAATAATTCGCGAAGCCTAGGAACTGCTGCAACTCCTTCACGTTCTCAGGTGTCTTCCACGTACGTACGGCTTCAATTTTCTTGGGGTCGACGTGAACTCCTTGAGCGCTCACCATGTGTCCTAGGAATTGGAATTTCTCAAGGGCGAATTCGCTCTTGGACAATTTGACGTAGAATCGTTCTCGTCGAAGAATTTCGAAGACGCGTCGCAGGTGTTCGACGTGCTGCTTCATGTCGCGCGAGTAGATGAGGATGTCGTCCAGGTACACCACCACGCACTCGTCCAATAATGGTCGTAGAATGTGGTTCATTTCGGCTTGGAATATTGCCAGTGCGTTGGTGAGTCCGAACGGCATTACCAAATACTCGTACGATTGATACCGAGTTCGGAAAGCAGTTTTGTGGATAGAGTTGTCCGCCATCCGTATTTGCCAGTATCCGGACCGCAGATCCAGTTTGGAAAATACCGTAGCTCCCCAAAGCTGGTCAAGCAGGTCATCGATTCGTGGTATCGGATATTTATTTTGGATGGTCTGCTTGTTAAGAGCTCGGTAGTCGATGCACATGCGCAGGCTTCCGTCCGGTTTCGGTGTGAAGAGTACCGGGGCACCGTATGGCGAAGTGGATGGTCGGATGAGTCTTTTGGTCAGGAGATACTCGATCTGTTTTTTCATGTCGGTCAGCTCCGTAGCGCTGAGCCGATATGGTGCTCGGAAGGTCGGCTTCGAACCCGGTTCCTCCTCGATCTCGTGTTGATGCGTTCGGTATGGCGGTAGCTAGTTCGGAAGATCGTTAGGAAGAATGTCTTGGAACTCCCTCAGTAAGTCCTTGATTTTTTCTGGAGGTTCCGAGGCTCTCTCTCCGTCGTTTTCCACCTCTGCTGCTATTGCCAGGAACCTGGTGTCGGTTCGCTTCACGTCCTTCTCGAATCTGGCGAGTGTCTCCACTGGGATATCTCCTGTATTGTCCCAGTTGGGTAGCTGGACTCTCCTTCCTTTGTTGTAGATACTTGCGGTGCGGTTTACCCAGATGATCTCGGGGTTGAATTTCTTGAGGAAGTCTCGCCCGAAGACCAGGTCAAGCCCTTTTATGTTGGTGATGGGGAGAGCAGGTTTCCAGTGCAGTGGACCGATTTGTAGGTGTAGCACTGCTTCGCCGTACACTGGTAACTTGCTGCCGTCCACCATCGTTGCAGAAAACGCTGATGGCTTTTACTCTCCTCGAAGTCGGTCGATGGTTGCGTTGTCGCATACGGTGTGCGATGCTCCGCTGTCCACGAGTGCTTGGAGGCGTCGTCCATTGCAGATGACCTCGAGCACGAGGGGCAGGCGTTGCTTGGAGTACCCAAAGATAGTTTCATTGATTGGGTCATAGAGTACATCCCAATATTTCGTACACACCTTTGTGTTGCTATCTACTCCTGAGCTGGCAGCTGGCCGAGGCTGCTTGGAGAACGGCTCTTCTCCAGGGCCTGGAGTATCCTTGACGACTGTGCGCGTCATTGATGCCGAAGTACTGGATGCATCCATAGGAGGAGTTCAGGGTTTGTGCAGCTTCGTGTAGACCCCCAGCTTCCTCTTGAGCTGCTTCAGCTCCACCGACATCTTCCCTGGGGAACGGGTAGTCGTTGTGGGCTGGTGTCGGGAGAGGACGTTGACTCCGTGGAAAGGTCGGCTTCTTTCCACACTCTTTAATTTTTTCCCCAAGTTGTCCGGTACCGGTATAATCTCCACAGCTGTCTGCTTCTTTTGGAGTCCCTCCCGAAAATTTCTCCAAGGCTCTAGCCCCTCGAGAATCATAAGTTTTCATTAAAGCATCTTTATCATATAACTTTAACGAATCCTTATAATTTCTTGGGTCTTCAAGGAGTTTCCCCGTCTCGGCAGAGTCTTTTTTCGCGGAGTCGAATTTTTTCTCGGCGATTTTCCCTGGCGAAGAATGGTCGTGGGGTGGAGATTTTCCCATCATTTCCTCCTTCTCGCGTCGAATCAGCTGCGTCGAAGTTGTTTTTCCCGGAATCCCGTGGCCGCTTTCGAATCTTTTTATTTTCGCCTGCTAGATCCGCAATCACTGGCGACTCCCATTTTTTGTCTTCTGATTGGCCGAAGGAATTCCGCCACTGTTGCGTGCCCGATACTCTGCGCGTGCGGCTTTCATTTTGTTGCAGTCGAAGATTCTATGACCCGGCACCCCGCAAAAATCACACGTGTAGTTGGTGTTTTTCGGACGTGGCCACCCCTTGAATCTGTTGACTTCCATCGGGTCGGCGAACGTGGGGTGAGCCGAGCAGTCGCCCTGTCGCGTACTGCCGACGTGCGTCCGTCGTGTCTCGGCGTTGACCATATCGAAGCGCTCCGCTGCCGAAACGACGTCACTGTAGCTCGCGTAGTTTGACGCTGCCACTTGTCGTTTGACTTCGGTCTTCAGCCCGGCGAGGTACGACTGTACTTTTTCCCCTTCGGTCAGGTCGGGAATTCTGTTATAAAATTCCTCCATCTGTTGCGTGTACTGCGCTACACTCCCGAACTGTCAATGGCGATGAATTTTTTCGCGGGCAAGGAAACCCGAATTCATCGGCTCGAAACGTTTCAGCAGGTCGGTGCGGAACTGCTGCCACGTGGCTTCACCGTGGATGAAGGTACTGTTGCCGCCAATTCACTCGAGTGCCGGCCCTCGCATCAGTGTCACCGCGAGTCGTACACGTTGACCGTCCCAGATTGGCGAGCTCCATCCGACGGCTGCGAAGTAGATCTCCATCTCGGAGATCCATCTGCGGGCATCGGAGTTTCGATCGCTCGGATCGAACGGCTCAGGTGGGCGCACTTTCGGAGCCTCAAGAAACTGCTGCGACTGCTGCGTCGTTGCCGTTGTCGGGTCATGCTGCGCTTCGGCGAGTCGAGTTACTCGCTCCAACTCGTTTCGCCACGCTTCGCGATCCGCTCGCATCTCCTCCTAAAGGGCTGCGATGCGCGCGAAGAGCTGTTGGGTAACCTCGACATTGTCGAAGGTTGCCATCCTGTTCAAAACACGTGCGGGGGGGGGGGGGGGGGGGGGTGATTCGAAAAAACGCGGAGCTGGTGCTTACCAGAATCGGCGTCGAATTGGTCGCCCCCGGCGGTTTTTTGAGGCAGGTTTTCCCGGTGCTGCTGCTTTGTTGAGCGCGGCCGAGTGAGAAAAGCTCTGATTACCAAGTGTTACAGGATCGAATGTCTCGAGGAAAGGTTGCACTATCGATCAGTACAAGGCGTTTTTATACTTCCAAAGTACATCAGGTAACTAGGTTTATCTTATCCTAAGGGAATAGACCCTTCTAGAAGATAGAATCACCCTGCGTATAGCCACGCGAGGCTATTGGCTTTAAGGGATTGCGGCAGGATTACGCTAGATATAGCGCACCAATACATCCCGAGCCTCGTCGGGGATAAAATCATAATAACAGGATAACCCAAAGGTTTATGGAAAAGGAGAAATAGGAACCCAAATGGAATGAGATAAAAACCAAATGGATCAAGGTGGAAAGAGGAATGAAATGGAAGGGAGAAAGGAATGGAACGGGATCGTACTCTCACTGCCTTCGTGAAGGCCGAGCTGCTGAGGAGACACACCTGCACTGACCTAGGAGAGCTGCGCCGCTACCTTGACTTGCATATCTCCAGGGACAGAGCAGCGCGCACCATCACTCTCACACAGTCACACTTGGTGCGCCAGGTCCTTCAGATGTTCGGTCTTCAGTTTTTCTCCGCACAGCCCACCCCTCTGTCGGTAGACCACAGGCTCTCAGCTCCAGTTCCTAAGGAGTCAGCAGAGCCCAGGGGTCCTTACGCAGAGCTAGTGGGTTGCCTCATGTACCTGATGACTTGCACTCGTCCATATCTTGCATACCCTCTCAACATCCTGGCTCGCTTTGTGGCCACAGGCAGACACCGACCCCAGCACTGGTCGGCCGCTAAGAGGGTTTTGCATTATCTTGCGAGTACATCGGGCATGGGGCTAGTGCTGGGAGGACGCAGGCCGGTGGTCCTTACTGGGCACAAAGACGCTTCTTGGGCAGACGACGCCGAGACCCTCAGGTCCTCCCAGGGCTACTTTTTTAGCCTTGGTTCAGGTGCCATCTTGTGGAGCTCCACTCGCTCTTGATCAGTTGCCTAGTCTAGCAGTGAGGATGAGATCTACGCTGGTGCCATGGCGGCACAGGAGCTCTGCTGGCTGACGTTCTTGCTCGCTGACTTAGGTGAGCGGCCAGGCTCTGCCCCGGTTCTGTACGCTGACAACATGGCCATGATCCTCCTTTGTCAGGAGCCTCGACTCGAGGGCAGAGCGAAGCACATCCAGCTGCGGTACTTCCTCCTGCGCGAGCTACAGTAGAGTTGTCAGGCCCGCATAGTACACTTGGCCTCCGGTGCCAACACAGCTGATATCTTTACTAAGGTGTTGCGCCTAGAGATCATCAGCGATATTGTTTGCAGCTTGGTCTAGTTCTTGTAGACTCTCACTTGCTAGGACCTTGATTGTGTACTCCTCTATATTTATACCTTCCAGACTGGCCTTGTGGCTTCACTTCCAGTGGCCGGACTTGTAGTGCCCCCTGGTTTGTTCTTGTTTAGGTTGTACTCTTGCAGACTGGTCTTTGGACCCCTGCCTCAGAGGTTGGACTAGTAGTGCCACCCTGAGCTGTGTGTTTCTCGCTCAGCACTACCCCTTATCTAGCTTAGGGGGTGTGTCAATATATACATATGTTATTATGTAGAAGTTATAGGTTAGATAGGTCTTTGTTCTTAGAGTACAAATCCAACCCTATACCTTGCTTAGTATTCTAAGATGTATTAGTCTGGATCAGGGCTTATCTTTGTTTTTTCACCACTCTGATTTTCATGTGTGTCTTCGGGCCTAACTCTGATTTTCAGAGTGCCCTGGAGGTTGAACTCTGATTTGTCAGGGTTTTTTCACACTTTCCACACAAATACTCTGATTTCCAGGATTTATGCCCCCGTGTTATTTCACGCCATTCTGCCTTATCTAGGAAGGTGTCCACATTAGCATTTGGGCGCGTTTCTGGCCGCAGGTCTAGCTTCTATTACACTCCAAATTCCAGAGCGTTTGAGAGCTTTGCGTGCCTTTTGAGTGGTTGAGAGCCCTGCTCGCTCCACTTGACTGGTATAGAACCTCGAACAACAGCCAGAAATGCACACATTTTTTTCTACGTGTGTTCCCTATACGCAATCCCTACAATTCCGTGCGCAAAACCTGTGCTGCTGGATGCTGAAATGTGCGCAAAACTAAATACATATTTTCAACCGAAATCTTCCCAGTCCATTCGA